TTTGGCTTTCTCTTTTCTCTTCTTTAGAGAGACTTGTGGAAGAAGGGAAGAGGAAGGAGCGGGAGAGTGGGAGGGAGAGAGCTGTGTAAATACCTGGGCTTCTTAGTCATGGCTGTCAGGGCAGAGAGGGTCTTAGAAGAGCAGGCGGCCCCACTTTACAGAGGAGAAAACCCGGCCCTATCCAGACCCCATTCATGTGTGTTCATCACAGCTGCAGCCTCATTTTCTGTTCCTCGCTCCTGTTCAGGTCCCGCTTGGCTGGTCTCCAACGTCCGCCAGCCTGTCGCCCTCATTCCTGTCCATTCTGCCTGGAGATCTTTCTCCAGCCCATCCCCACCTATCTGTCTACACCATCACTGCCAGCCTCAGGCCCACATCCTCCCACCTAGGCCGTGGCTGCCTCCTAACCACACTGCTTACCAGTTGTCCCCTCTAGTCTGGTCAAAGCACCTAATACACGGATTATCCCAATGCCAATTGCTCTCCCAGCTCACACACCTGCCTAAGGAAGCATCAGTCCTCATGTCTGTGCTCCTAGACTGGGAGCTCCGGGGGGCTGGCTTTGTCCATTCATCTCTGTCTCCCAGTGCCTGGTATAGTGTTACACCAGAGCATCTTAATTTGGGCAGTTGTGCCCCCAGGGACACTGGGCAATGTCTGGAAACATTTTTGGTGTCAGAACTTGGGATGAGGGTGATACTGGCATCTAGTGGGTGGAGGCCAGGGATGAATCTAAACATCCTGCAGTGCACAGGACAGTGTCCCCACCCCACCCGCAACAAAGAATTATGTGGCCTAATGTCAATAGTGCCAAGGTTGAGAAGTCCTGCTTAAACCCACGGGAGTTACTCAAGAATATTTGCAGGATGAATATATTATCTCAGACGCTATGACATACTGGGTGCTTACCATCTGCCGCGCGCTGCTCTGAGTGCCTGCCCTGTCTTGTCTTGAATCTTCCCTTCGACCCACATGGTTTTAGTCACCGTAATGCTGTGGGCGTATCTTCCTGACACCTTGGTATCCCTGCATCTGGCACCATGCCTGGCATGTAGAGGTGCTTAATAAATGTTTGAAGAAAGTAAAGCCTAGAGAGGTCATCTGACCTGAGAGAGGCCCAGCTGGGTCTCCAACACCCTCCATGTTCACTCCACAACACCAAGCCGAATATAACTGCCTGTAACATCCAATGGTTTTCACACTGGCATGTTCATGGTCCTTCAGAAATGCAGGTGAAGCAAGTTTTATTTGGCCCTCTTTATCCAGTTAACTGAGGTTTTCTCACCATTTCAAGCCTCAGAAGTAAATTAGCAAGATCCCTGAATTTGAGTCAGAAGATCTGTGGACAGAGGATCTGGCTCTGTCACTATTTGGGTGGTCTTGGCCAAATTCCTTAAACTTGCCTCATCTCATTTTCCTCACTGGTAAGTGGAGATAACGTTGTGAGGCATAAAGGAGATAAGGCATGTGGAAACTCTTATCGTGTCTAGAGTTCTATTCCAACGTATGGGATTGGTATGGTGGGTTGATCTTTGCATTAAAAAGCAATTCTTGGTTATGCTAAGCTAACAAGCCAGACACAAAAGGACAAATACTGTATGATATCGTTTATATAAAGTATCCAGAGTGGTCAGATTCATAGAGACAGAAAGCAGGATAGTTGTTACCAGGGGCTAGGGGAAGGGGACATGAGGAGATAGTATTTAATGGGTATAGTTTCTGTTTGGAGTAATGAAGAAGCTCTAGAAATAGATAGTGGTGATGGTGGCACAACATCATTAGTATACTCATGCCACCTAATTGTACACTTAAAAATGGCCAAGTGGTAAATTTTGTTATTACATTACCACAGTAAAAAAAAAAATTAAAAATTAATTCTTGGTTTTTCAAAAAGATTTGTGTGTTTGATTTTATCAAATAAAGTTCTTAATCCAACTTTTCGCTTTATAAATGAGGGTGTCAAGGTGAAGAGAAACCAATGACTGGCTCAAGGACTCACACAAACCAGGTTGGACCACAAGGAAAACAGGACCCGGGTTATGTGAATTCCAGCTTGCTGTTTTTCCCATTGTCCATGCAAAGCCTCCTTAGCTGTGGACAGGCTGCTGGTTGTCAGAGAAGCTGCCGGCAAAGATGTTGGGACACCCTTTTCACTAAACAGGAATCAGGGACAAAGGTGAAGAATATTCTCAAAGTTCAGAAATCAAGCAGATACAAGTCTTTGGGGGCATCAATGTGCTTGCTGCACAAGGCAAGGTTCAACCGTTTTGTTTTGTGCAGCTGAGTCTACACAGGGGTGTTTGGATCACATGAGTGATGGCTGGACAGGGAGCAACAATCCCAGGACCACACATCTGTCCACCCCAGTGTTGGCTTGACGTCCAAGTGTTTGTTGAGTGAATGCATAAATAAGCAAACACGTTGAATGGAAGGAGCTGGAGTCATACCCAGTGTTGAGTCTCAGATTTGTTGCTTACTACCTGAGGCCTGCGTTCAAGTCACTTACCCATTCTAAGCCTCAGTTTCCTCATCTGTAAAGTGGGGATAATATTAATGTTCCACTTACAGTCTTGTTGTGAGGAGTAGGTGTAGAACGTGATAAGCTTATAATAACACTTTGGTTAATATGTTATTACTAGTAATAATGATGTGTTAAACATGGATTTTATACTCAAGAGTCTTCTGTGTTCAATGCAGTACCAAAGATCCAGGTCTTCAAGGGGCTTCCAATATAACTCGGCTGATGGGATATCCAGAGATGGAATAGGTGGAGATGATCCAAGGCCACATTTGACCATAGCTGTCTGAGGTGGTGTGGAGTGTGTTTTTGTCTTTGTGATTTCAGGGACATCTCTCCTAATTTTGCCCAAATTCAGTGTCCTCAACTGTCAAGTGGGCGTGATGCTCTTTTCCTGCTTGGCCCTCCCTTCAGAAATGTTGGGATTTCCATGGGAGATAAAATCTGTAGAAGGGGCCCGGCCCCATGGCTTAGCGGTTGAGTGCTCACTCTGCTACCAGTGGCCTGGGTTCGGATCTCGAGCGCGCACCAACGCACCGCTTGTCCGGCCTTGCTGAGGCAGCATGCCACATACAGCAACTAGAAGGATGTGCAACTGTGACATACAACTATTTACTGGGGCCTTGGGGAGAAAAAGGGAAAAAAAGGAGGAGGATTGGCAATAGATGTTAGCTCAGGGCCGGTCTTCCTCAGCCAAAAGAGGAGGATTGGCATGGATGTTAGCTCAGGGCTGATCTTCCTCAAAAAAAAAAAAAAAATCTGTAGAACGGCAAAGAGCTGTGCAGTGAGTGGTAGCCATGTCAGGTGCTGAGTTAGGGGGTCAGGCCATACACCAGTGCCTGTGTTCCTCTGATGGATGGTCTGTGTTCGCTGTGGGAAATGGGAGTCCACTCCCCCAGGAGCTGAGGGCCCGGATGAGATTGTTCCCCACAAGCTACTGTCTCTGGAATAGCAATGTTTCTGAACTTCTCAGGAGAAAGGCTCCGTGTGCTTTCAAGACAAGCCTGTAATTATAATTTTTGATTTAGAAAATAGCATGGCTCAAGCTTGAAGTGGCAGGCAATGTGGGAAGTCACCCCTTGGTTTCTTTCCCAGAAAGACCTTAGCTAGGTGCAACATCCCTTTGATGAATGTACAGTAGGATTTTTTCTTTATTTGATTTTGAAGACCTCATTAATGCATTCAGAATATTAATTAGTTCTATTTTCAGCCATGGAGCATGAACCTGAAGCTGAAACTTTTCTGGATCTTTCCTGCTGCAAGGGACTTTCTTTACCAGCCATCTTCAGCTTCGGTCATATTAACCCAGCCAAGGTGATAGCATCAGGGAGGGGAGAGGACTAACAAGGGGGGGCCTACTATGCATGCAGCGCCCTACAAATGTTATTTCTTCAACTCACAAACATCCTGGAAGGTTGCCATTGTTATCAGGCAGCCGAAACTTAGGGAAGTGAAGTAACTTTACCAAGGTCACATGGACGGTGATAGCTGAACCTGAGAGGTGGGGTATGTCGGACACAGGCTCATGCCCCTTCCATTGCTTTGCATGGCCTCCCAGGCTGCCGCAGCTGGGATGGGTGGGTGGGTGGACAAGGGTGGGAGTGGAGAGGACGCACAAAACCGCATGATTGAAATGAACGGCTGGCAACAGAGACAAAGTAGAAAAGCACCCCAGACAGTCTGGGTTCAGCTGCTTAAAATAGGCAAAGACATTCTTTGGCTAATGCATAATCACCACAGGGATTAATGCAGCTCTGCTCCTTGGGGTTAATTTATACTCCATGAGCCCCTATTAGATGAGATTTCTAAAATGCATAAGAGCACAGGGCTCGTTAGGGATGTTCATAAAAGCCTGGTACGGGGAGAAGAAAGGGAACCTGGTGCCACAGCGCCGGCCCAGAATATCCCGGACAAGGCTGCCTGTGGGGGCCGGTGGAGAAGTCGGCTCTGACCCGTGGCTCTGCCTGCCAGCAGAGCCTTCACCCTGCAGGGCCCCAGTTAGCATCAAAGGGGAGCAGCAGGGGTGGAGAGCAAAGATGTTGGATTCTCTTCAAATCCCAGAATAGTGAAGCCAGAAGGGACTTTGGAGATCATTTCGTCCAATCCTCTTCTTCCACCTGCTGCTGGATAGATGGGGAAACTGAGGCCCAGAGAGGCGAAAGCTCATCGTCAAGGCTGTTTCTTCTTCCTCACTTCTGCATACAACTGAGCACCCTTCAGTCCTGTCACGTCTTCCCTGGCAATGTCTCTTACTCCCGTCTTCCCCCCTTAGTCAGCGCTGATCCCAAGTCCTCACTCTGGAAAGGAAGATTTCACTCATTCATTTGTTCACTCACCTCTTCATTCGCTCATTCAGAGCAGACACAGTGACCGCCTTCTTCCCTGGGGCGTGTTCAGCTCAGGAAAACGCAGTTGAACGTCATGCTGCGTTCTCCCTCAGAGAACTCAGTCTGGTGTGCAAGGCCAAGGTATCCACAATGACTCCTCAACTTCCTTCTGGCTCTCGCTATTCAGGGAGTCCCAGCTGAGTCATTGAGGGATCTCCTGAGGAGTTTGTCTGCTCCAGTCTCTGTCTGTCAATTCAGGAGACATGCATTGTCAGATTAACCTTCCAGAACACAGCTCTGATCACCCCAAATCCTCTGTGGTTCCCCATCGCCTCGACAAACTCCAAACTCCTAACCTGCTTTAGATGGCATATCCCTCACATCCGGGCTGTACCGAATTCTCGGTGGGTTCCAGAGCATATCCTCTGTTGTTTTACCTTCAACAGTAGCGGTGGGTTCTTGTTCGTCCACCACCTGGCAGGCCTTCCTCGCCCCTGTCGGAATCATACTCTTTAATGCTTGCATGTCACGTCACCTCCTCCGTGAAGACTTTTCTGAATGTTTTTAAGAGGGGGGGATCCCTCACATCTCTGAACTCTTCTTGAAACTCTTAGTTTTATAATTCCTAGAATTCTTGGCTCATATTTACGCTCTGTGTACTTCAGTTTCCTCATCTGTAAAGTGGGAAATTGATAATACCTATCTCACCCATTCTGAAGACGATATACAGTTGTGTAAACTGTAGAAGATCGACTAGGTCAATAAATGTTAGTTACTGTAATGACTATTTCTATTATTGTTATAGGGCTTTTTGATATAGTGTCATATCCTTCTATTGTTACACTTCACAGCACCTGTAGGCTGTTCCTTCCATGTAGGTGAGACCTGGTGCTCGATTGTTGAATGAACAGTATTATTTAAGATATTCACCCACTTGTTCATTGAACAGAGGTGTGCTGGTTGCCTGTGAGGTACTGGGAGGGGACAGAGGCACAGGCCTGCCCTCCCGTAGCTCAGGAGCTGGTGGGGAGACAAGCACACAGCACAAATCAGGCGGCACTGGGACAGGGCTCAGAGAAAGGATAGGTGCTGAGGCCCCCACAAGTCCAAGTGGGGGATTCATTCTGCTTGGGGATAATAAAAATAATGGTTAACCTGATGGGAACTTAAATGGTGTTCTTCTTGTGACCTAAATTTTGGTTGATCCTCCAAAGCTGAGAACAAATGGTATTAAGTGGTCACAGATTCTAAACAAAGAAGATGGATAATCTTTGAAGAACCACTCAGGAGTGATCCCCAAATCTGTCCAAAGGCCCTGGCCCTTCACTCCTCTGGAGGGTACCAGAGAGACTGCAGGGAGGGCGACAAGGAGGGGATAGAAGGTGGGATTCTCTTCAGGGGGAGAGTGCCAGCGTGCTGGGGCATCCTGCGCCCTTCCCACGGGGTAGGCAGCACAGGTGAGGGCTTCCTGGGTAGCATTTCTGAGTATCTGAGTGCTGGGCCTTGGACATTCGGGGGGATGTACGTGTGGTGCTGGGGAATGGAATGAGGGATGCGTGGAGCACGCAGGGCAGAGAAGCCTACCATGAGCCACCTGGCCATGGGCCCAGAGTGTGTCCTGTGATGGTCAGCTGGAAGCCAGGGGCTAAGGGGACATCATACGCCACAAGCTAAGGTGGCGTCACCCAAGCTAGAGACTGTAGTCAGAGGTCCCCAGTGGACATATTTCCAAAGGGCTCCCGAGAGACCTCCATGAGGAAAGGGGGAGTGTTTAGACACTTGCCACACCCACAGGACCTCCAATGCTCGGTGACAACTATAGACAAATAGGACAGTTTTTGCCCCTTATCTCTCCACATATGAGTCTCTCCCATTCCTCCCACCCAACCCTGGAGGGTCCAGAGGCTAGAGGAAGGAGGAGAGAAGAGGAGAGAGAAGGAGAAGCACTGCCCCTTCCCCAGAACAGGTGTCTCCACCCGGGACAGGTGGATTTTGGGGAAGAGAGCTTTCAAATAGGAGGAGGCTTTAAGGCTTTGGTGTTAGACTGGACCGGACAGTTTAATAACCACAAACTCGCAAAATGGAACTATTTGTTAGCCCCTAAGAGTTGTCTGGAAAGTCAGAGTCCTTCCCTCACCAGGGAAGTGAGAGTCAACCCAGCAGGGATGAGAGGCATTGGTGGGGAAGACTAGAGCCACCATCTGCTTGTGCCAGGTCTGAGGATCTCCGTATAATGGTTGAGTACACAGAAGCTCAGAAAGGTTGAGTAAATTGCCCAAAGGAACTCAGCAAGGAAGTGTAAGGCTGGGTCTTGAAGCCAAGAATGAATTCTAAATTCTACTGTACACACGGTGAGGAGAGAGGACAACATAGCACCCAGGGAAAAGCCAGCCCCTTCTGCCGGGCTCAGAATAGAAGTGTCGACATAGGGCGTTGGAGCAGAGAATGATTCCGAAGTGCTGAGTGGCCAAGCTCTGGCCAGAGACCGTCTACTGCCTCCTGCAGCAGACAGAGAAGGGAAGGGGTGGGTTCAGAGTGGGCACTCAGGTGCCCCTCCATGGGGGGGATGCAGCTGTGCAGACATCTCTAACTCTGAATGAACATGCAGGCCCTTGACTTGGTGTCCAGAAAGGAGGCTGCAATCACCACTTATTGGGAAATTGTTTACAGCTGGAATCTGCTCCACAGAGCACTTACTCAGCCACCTCTTTAGTCAGAGCTGAGGACAAAGTGAGACAGGAGGAGGCTGAGTGGAAGTCGCTGATGTCCCTGGGAAAGGGTAAGGAGTCTCATGGCTGGGCTACGATCAGGCTGCTCCCTGCTGTGGTGCGACCGGCGTCAGCTGCGGGGAAGCAAACGCAGAGTGTCAGGGAGGCAATGGCTTGGGTGGGGGTCAGTCCTGGAGTTGTGCTGGAGACCTCTTCCATTTCCAGGGCTAGAGATGGAGAGGAGCTAGCATTTGAGGGGTCCCCAGATGGACCCAGCACCCTGTTTGTTCTCCATCACTCCAGGAGGCCAAGGTTTACCATTCTCATTTGGCAGAAGAGAAAAGGGAGCCTTAGGAAGGGTAAGAAACTCATGCAAGGTGACACAGCTAGTCAGTGACAGAGCCTGGATTGGAAGTCTCACTCATCTTACTCTAAAGCCAGTGTCCCACCAGTGAGAGGAACAACGGCCATGTATTGCCTTTTGGCTCAGCTGAAGCTGCTCCATCACCAGCAACTTCAGAGGCAGGGCTGCCTTAGCAGAGGATGGGACAGAGGTGGGGTGGGCCCTGTAGACCAGCGCAGTCCTGGCTACTCTGTCCCCCTCCTTTTGTCCACAGTGCCAGGCCCTGGGGGCACAAGGTTGACTAAGACATGCTAGGCCATTGCATATGCTGTTTCCTTGACTTGGAACCACATTGTCCCCTCACCCCAAACATCCTCCTGCTCCTGGCCAACTCTACAAGGTTCAGCTTGGATGTCATTCTCTCTGGAAACTTCCCTGACTATGATTTCTTGCCTTATACCCCAGTCATGTGAAGAATTAGGAGCCCCACCTCGGGCTCCCACTGCCTGGGCACCACCTTACAGCTCACTGTGTGTGCTATTTCCTTGTTGGCCTCCTCTACTAGACCATGGACTCCAGGACTGTCTTACACTTCCGCCGCACGTTGCTGCATCACCTCCACCCTCTGCCCCACATTGACAATGATGGAAACTCCTTGTTCGAGCTTATTCTAATCAGGGAGGTCAAGTAACCTGAGATCACACAGCTAGGAAGAGACCAGACTGAAATGGGAGGGCATCTGACTGACGCTCACTTATCTGTAAAGGCAATCCCTGCCCCTGAAGATTAAATCAAACGTGGAAACGGAAGTGAGCAGTGACTCGGAACGGCAGAGCACAATGCACGAAGGTTGGACTGTGCTTTGGAGGGAAGCCCTCAGCCTCTGAGGTCCACACGGTCCCTAATCAGAGGAGGGACAGCAGTGGCTCCTCCCCCAGAGAACTTTCCTCTGCAATGCAGTGAGCTTGGGGGCGCTTCGGGGGAGCGATTTGCAGGGATTTTCTAGCACTTCATTGAAGGGCTTTTAGGCAAAGCAGTGGCTGTTGACACTGATACTGTGAGCGCTCCAGAGCCCAGGTGTCAGATCCTGCAGGAGCAGAGATAGAAGGAAAAATGTGAGAGAGAGATGCAGCTGAGCTACCCAGTCATCTGGCAGCCCTGAGTCAAGGGTTGCATTTAGAGGTGGCTGGAGAAGGAAGCTTCAGGGAGCACAGAGGGAGTGGGGTGAGGGGAGAAGCTGCCCAGCGCGGGGACAGTCAGCCTCAATACACACCTGTTGTGAGCTAAGCAAGGGGCCTAAGAGGGAAGAGATGTGGGTGTAGCCCCTGATGAGGTGGAGAGTCAGAGAAATGAGCAGAAAATTACAGTACCGAGTAATAAGGAGGGGGAACACAGGGCGTATGGAAACCCAGAGGAAGTGCAATTAAAACAGAGGATGCAAATAGTTCTCGGCCCAGGCTGCATGTTAAAATCACCTGGGAAGCTTTTAAAAAATACTGTTGTCCAGGTCCCACCCCAGATCGATTAATTCAGTATCTCTGGTGGGGGGATCTGAGGGTCAGTATTTTTTTAAAGCTCCCCAGGACATTCTGTTTTGTGGCAAAGATGGAGAACTATATTGTGCTGAGAGATCTGGGGCTGCTTCTGAGAGAAGGTAGAGCCTGAGCTGGTTTTGGCAGGGGAAGGAGTTAGATGAAGAAGGCTCAGTGAAGGGTTCTCCTGGTGGAAGGGTCAGGCAGAGGTCCAGAGTGGACACAGCAGGACCCACTAGAGGAAAGACAGGCAGTTCCGTAGGACCAGAGAGGAGACTCCGTGTGAGGGCCAAATGGGCGGCTGGGACTGCATCAAGAAAAGCCTCAAGAGTTGAAAGCTTCCTGGAAGCCATGGGGAGGCTCTGGAGCATTCTAAGCTAGGGATGACGTCATCAGGACGTCAATGGGAGAAAGAAACCAGTGGGTAAAAACTCCCGCCCCTGTCCTTCGGAGGGATGGTTCTGGAAGGAATTCTGAACACACCGAATCCAGCCCCTGTTTGCCAGAGCAATAACCTTGAAATGCACCCGATAGTAGTTTTCCCCCGTCTTTATCTCATTCTTCTCGAGATCACCTCTTAAACAAACTACCTGCACGAGACTTCATTTCAGGCTGGAAACAATCTACCTGCACGAGACCCTTGTTTCAGGTTTGGAGGGAACCCACGCTACGACAAGCCTCCGGCCACACCCTGACATTGTCCTCAAGTGCTCATGGCCCGGTGATGGAGAAGTCAGAGTGTAGTGGTGAACTCAATGCAGTGAGACACACCCGGTGATGGGAAAGCACAGGGTGCTCTGGGAAAATAAAGGAGGGCTGCCGGGGCCGATCTTGGGGCATTAAGGAAGGCTTTCTGGAGGAAGTGGTTCTAAGGTGAGACCTGAAAATCAGGAAGATATTGGCCCAGCAAAGAGTGTGTGTGGGGGTGTAGGGCAAGGCAGAGGGTGTAAGGATGAGAGTCAGTGCAGACAGAGAGCAGAGGATATTCCTAGACTGTCTGGAGACAGTGTGGCACCAAAAGGGAACTGCAAAGAGTCATGTGGACCTGGAGTGTAGAGTGACAGGGTACACGTGGCCCTGGGTGGGGTGTTGTGCAGAGGTGGTCAGGGCTGGCTCATGCTGGCTTTCTTGGCCACCATAGGGGTCATTACTCCACTGTATGCTGAATGCCACAGGAAACTACTGAGGAGATTATCATCATGGATGTGAGCTCTGTTTGAAACATGTGAGTTTCAGGTGTCTAGTACAGGGCCTGGTCCAGAAATTGCCTAAAAACACAAAAGTTCTTTATCATAATTCATTTGGAGGGTCCCTTCCCCTGTTCCCTTTGCCTATCCTCCCTCTTCCTCCTTTATGATTTTGCCCTCACCCTCAATCTATTCTTTCTGCTGCCTGGAAATATCCAATTGCCTCCAAGTACTCAGCAAAGAAAAAAATCATCTCACCCAAAGGGAGAGAGTCTGCAGATTCTGCCATCTGGTTCTTGGCTCCTTCAAAGGCAGGAGAGAAAGAAGATCTGTCTCCTGACAGGTGGGTGACATTTTATGGGGAATAATAAGAGGATTTCTGTCAAGCAGACACGATGGGTCCTAACAATGTTTGGGTGTTTATATTTGGGTGAGTATATATTGTGGCACTGTCCCCAGCCATTGCTTGTCTGTTAAATGGGGATAATGAGGGTTCCTGACTCCTGGGGTTGTTAGGATTAAACACCAGTGTAGAGCATTAAGAACAGAGCCTTGAAGAGTGAAGCACTCAATATATATTAGCTTATTTTCTTCTCCTTCTCTTTCCCTTTATATTCTTCCTCTTCCTCCTTCTCTTCCATCATCATCATCATCCTACTACAGCCTACCTCTGTACTCCCTAGACAGAGGCGTAATATTGGAAAGATACCCTTGCTCCTAGCAGCCAGCACGCCCTGGGCTTATGTTCCCAGGCTATTTTCACGTTGAATTGCAGTTGTCTGTCTAATTATTGCCTCCTCTTCAGAAAAGTGTATTCCTGGAGGGCAGAGACAATGTTTAAATTGGAGGTTCTTTTCCTGGATCCATGGAACTCAGGGCTTCCATTAAGTTGGATGGGAGAACTTCGTCTTTATGTCACTAATTTCTATGTCAGTCATTCTCAAATGTGCAAGATGACCTGGAGGGCTTCCTTAAACACAGACTGATGGGCCTCCACAGGGTAAAGGGCCATCCTGGTTTGCCTGGGACTAAATGGTTTGAAAGATGTAGGACTTGCAGTGCTAAAATTAGGAGCTTCCTGGGCAAATTGGGATGAGCTAGTCACCCCAGCCCCAAACCCCAGAGTCTCCAATTCAGTAGGTCTGGGGTGATAATCTGCATTTTATGCGATTCCTAGATGATGCCCACGTTGCTGGGACTGCATGCTGAGAAGTGTTCTGCCCAAAAAGTGACTCACTGCTTCTCCAAAGGTAGCAACGACTGCAGTAGTATTTGCAGTCCCCGTGACTTCACCACCAACAGAAATTGTATATATTTTCCTGTCACATTACAGATATCTCAAAATATCATTTACGCTCACTCCCTTGAAATTACAGGTACTATGAGACAGCTGTTCAATCTCAGTATTTAATGTGTTAATAAAGATGCACATATATCACTATACTACCACTTTCATTTTTAATATTTTGATAACTATATTTTAATGTAATCGGTTTCCTTCATAATCTTAAATTTTACTTTTTTAAAAATATCTTTCTGAGAAGGGGTCCATTGGTTTCTCTTGACTGCCAAAGGGGTTATGGAACAAAAGGGCAAGAATCCCTGCTCAGGGCCATCTCTGCCCGCTGCAGGCACAGGGGCTAACATGCACCAGGAACTCAATGAGATGCCCTCTGCAATGCTGTCTCCTCATTAATCCACAAAATATTTATTGAGCAACTATTAAGGGTGAGGATACAATGATGAATAAATGGACCTGCTCCCTGCTCTTCAAGACCTTACAGTCCACCATGGGACATCTGTAGACAGGTGACAAGACAACACAAAGCCCAGAGACCTCACGGTCCCAAACTCTCACGTAGAGATTTCTGCAGTTTCAAGTATCTCTCTCATCGTCCACTTTAACACTCTCATTCCACCTTCCATGTGCTGCCAGCACGATCTTTCTAAGACCTAAGTCTGGTCTAGTCACTTTCAAGCTTATTACCATCTAATGGCTCCAGGGTCCAGAGGAGAAAGCCCACACTCTATGGTAGGGCTTACCTGGCCTCCCTGTCCATATCCCAGCCCCACGCTCACCCCATCTAGAGCTTCTGGTGGTCCCAGACATCCAGCCATCTCACACCTCCAAGCCTTTGCTTAGGTGTTACCGTCTGCCAGGAACACCCTCACAATTTCTTACCCTATTTTACCTGACTGACATCTACCTATCTTTCAAGACTCAGTGCGAGGTACCTTTCTCTTCTAAAAATTTCCTTTTCTGACACTTCCTCCCACCACACTGGAACTGACTCCACCCTCCCATGGTGGTATTTCTTCTAGGTTTGACATAGCCCAGCCACACTTTATGGTATAAATTACCCTTCACGTCTGTCTTCCCCTGCAGAATGGCACAGTGTTCTTCACCTCTTGGACAATCCTGAGTTGGAACTTACAGTGAGTGTATTGCCTGACACTCATAGGTGTTCACCAACTGTTACTGTAATAATTGTTATATCAGTTCTTTATCTACCCTTTCCCCCACAGGGACATCAATCCCAGTGAGCCATCATCCTCAACACCCATTTCACCATGGCCTCTGCCCAGTCCAGACCCTTGAAGGCATCTCCTTCTTTGCCTGTCAAGACTTTCTCCTCAAGCCTGCTTTCAGGGCACTCTGTGATCAGCCAGCTTTCTCTGTAATCACCCACCTTTCCCTCCTCTGATCAAGGCAAGAGAGCCTGCCTCATCTGTCTCCCAGGAGCCACCAGCTTCCTTCTTCACTTTGTGCCGCCATCATGGCTGACGTACATTCCCCTTCCCTCCCTGACTAGTCAGAGCAACAGAATCCTCTCCCATGGAGGTGGGCTCCTCCTGGCTGATTGAGGGACTTGATGATGGCATCAAAGATCCGGGTGGTCACCACTTCTCTGCCCGCCATCTCTAGTGCTAGCTCCATCCTCATATTAGGAGCCAGATGGCTACAGAAGTTCCAAGTGTCACATTCTGACAACATACTGTTTACAGGAAGAAGAAAGGTTCCTGTGGCTCTCTCCCACGAGAGAGGAAGCTTTCCCGGAAACCTTCCCAACAGACCCCTTCATTTCTCGGCTAGAACTGGGTCATATGCTCATCCCTGCACCAATTGCTGGCAAGGGGGGGCTGAAGTGATCAGGATGCTTAGGTCAGCTCTGCTTGAAGGTTAGTCAGCGGGGACCAGCAGTGCCAGCATCACCAGCATCTCCAGGGTGCTAAGTAGAAATTCAGATTCTCAGGATCCAGCTGGGACCTATGGGATCATATCTCTGGGGTCAGGCCACTCCCAAATCTGCATGGTTGTTAGTTATACTGGTGACTCTGATGCTAATTTGAGGAGAACCTGCTTGCACTGATCTCCCGGGATGAAAGGTTTGTTGCGGGGCGAGCTGTCGTGACTGATTCAACTACCTTACAGCTCTATCTCGCGTCACTTGCCCTCAGTAACAAAATGCATGCAGATTCCAGAACTTGCCATGCTCTTCCACACCACCACAACTTTGCCCGAGTTGTGTCCCTTCCAGAATGCTGTGTCTCCTTGACTATTGGACACATTTCTGTCCATGCTTGAATACACAATTTGTCATCCCTTCCGTAAGTGGGCCTCTCCTCTGTGCCCCACGGACCCCTACTCACCCCCAGCCCTTTGGGATTCACCATTCCTTACCACGTCCCTTTATAGACTTGCTTCTTACCTTTGTAGCCTGAAAACAGAGTGGATGTTCCACATACATTTGTGGAATGAACAGGATGGTCAAGTTCTTGCTTTGGGGCCTGGGGAGGAGGGTGGGTAGGTGCTTTATCTAACCTCTTTATTTCTGATGACAGTTTTTCTATGTTCACTATATACTATGGCAGGGAGACCATGGGTTTGGGGGTCACATCAGCCCACGTTTCAATCCTGCTTTGCCCTTACTAGCTAGGTAGCCTTGACTGATGAACTTAGCTTCCCTGAGCCTCAGTTTCCTCAGCTGTAAAATGGGGCTAGTAATGTCTGTTTTCTATGATTCTATGTGGATTGACTGAGAAAGTGGGAATGAAAGCCCTCACACATAGAAGGCAGTAAACCAACAGTTTTAGTTATTAATTCCCCACCTGGTGGCAGTCCTCTTTACAACTTAAACTCGCCCCCATTTCAGCCCTCTTGATCCAAGTGGTAATTTTGATAATTGGATATTGGAAAATATTATGTCACTTTTGCATTTCACGGTCCTATCAGCTGACTGTGAGTATCTGCCTCTACTTTGAAAGGTGAGCAGTATCTGAAAGAATTTGCCTCAAAGACTCTCTGTGTGTGTGTGTGAGTGAGAAAGACAGAGAGACAAAGGAAAGAGACTGAGAGACAGAGAGACACAGGGACTTAGAGACATTGTTTGAAATATGTGTTTCTGTCTCTGTAGAGACAGAGAGGTGAGGGGAAGGGAGGAGACAGAGAGACAGAGAAAGAAAATGACAACTCTCCTTTTGCTAGTCTAAACAAAATAGGGTTGAATGTTGTAAATTCTACACTTTGTGCTTTCCCAGGAGACAGGTCCAGCTCCTCCCTCCAGGGCATCAGACTGGACCTCCCTGCCTGCAGGGTCCTTGGCCCTGGTAAGTGGTCAACTTTCCCCCACATTTGAGAACTCACAGTTCCAGAGAGAGAGCTGGCAGCTGGCTTGGTACAGTCCTGGAATTGAGCAACTGATCCTCATGGCCACTGAGGGCCCTGGTGGCAAATTGCCCATTAGGGATCCCGGCTGCCTCAGTCTCCCCTCTGGGAGGCCTGGACTAAGGGAGGGTGGGGTAGATGGTAGTGAGAGCCGCCGTCCAGCAGTCTGGAGAGCCTAGAGCTTAGAGGTGGTCTCTGTTGGGTTACTCACTGTTAGTGTGAGCTTGAGTAAGTGTCTCAGCCCCCTGGGCTTCTGACCCTTTATAAGTACAAATGGGAATAGCTGCGTGGCCAATGCCGTGAGGTGGTTATGCAAGGTGAAATACACAAAATCTGTGAAAACATTTTGAAAAGCACAAAGCAGTTGGAAAATACTAGTAAAATAGTAGTAGCAACAACAACAGCAACGATACTACTACTATGCTCAGGCTAGTGTTTGGCTGACTTTGTTCTGACTCAAACACACAGTCAGTCAGTGTCTGGACTTCACTGCTTTCTAAACCTTTAAATTTCATCTTTTGGCATCAGACCTTCATATTACGTGTTCAGAGATATCCTTGCTTTCCATTCAACAATTTTTTATTGAGGCCCTGTAAGTAGTTCTGGGTAGAACCACCTGTAAGTGGTTCTGGGTTCCCAATGGTGAACGGGCACACGGAGAGCCTGGATGAGGGAGCTTTGCAACTTTCTGAAGGTGAAGATTCATTTCTTCCTTTTATAGACGAGAAAATGAGGATCTGAAAATTGAGAAGCATTCTTGTGGCCACAAGACAGGAAGCGTGGAGCCTGGGCTGAGTCGGCTGCCTTCTGGTCCAGCCTGTCGATCATTCATCCACTCCCTTTCTCACTGCTTCTCCAAAATCCTCCAAAAGATCTCCTTCTTTTCTCCTGATACCCAGGTGTTGAACTAAAAGGGAGCTGGGAGAAAAAGGAAATGAGAGAGATGACATTTTTAGAGTCAAGATGGTTTTCAGAAAAAGAGTTTTTTTTCTCTATTTGCAGGTAAAGTGAAGCAAGGAGAAAGGATGTGGAAAATGATTGGGGTGGGGGATGGGACCACTCACTTTCGTCTCCCAGGTAAGAATAACTTCCTGACTTTTTCCTTTCTCCAGAAGTCTGTGCACCAGCAGAAAATTATCTGTTAAAAAATAAGCAATAACATATAAAGGAAAAAAACCTTTTAGCTTCAAGTCAGAGCTATGAAATGCGCATGCTCAGTTGCTGGCAGGAAACTGGAGGTTCTCTCTAGAAATAAACTTGAGACCACTCAATCTTAGGAAAGTGGAGACTTGGTCAGGGTGATCTTTCTTGTTTATGAAAGTTCTTGTATTGTAGCAGAAAATTGGTAATTCATTAATTCATAACACAAATCTTAATTAACTGCGTGAGACAGAGATGTTCTGAACTTGAATTTTCCCCTTCTCTCCTGGCTAGGGCTGGGCGCATCACGCAGGGTTTAGCATATTGTAAATGATCAACAAATGTTTCTTAGGAAATCATGTAAAGGAGGATGGAGGTAGGTAGGTGCTCTCAACCACAGCGTGCTTCAGAGATTCCCAGTTCATTGGCACCTTCCTTGTACCCCCTTCCAGGGTTCTATCCCCCCGCTCCCCGTCTCAGCCCTGCTACGTACCCCTATGGGAAATGTACTTCAAGATGGATTCCAAGCCATTTCACACTAAACAGCTGGATATAGCCATTTCACACTAATCGGCTGGAAATAGCTCATGTTTGTCCCTCCTGCAATGGTTTGCAGGGTTACTGTGAGAAATATGTTCTGTGAACTCGAGGAAGCAGCCATTCAGTAATGAGGGCATAGAGTTGAAATAGAAACACTTGGGTTCTAGACTGGTCCAGATGTGAGCCATGAGATTATGGCCAAGTCTCCATTTTCTCATCTAAAAGTTAGGTGTGGTAGGCAGTATAATGGCCCCCTAAGGATGTCTACATCCTAATCCCTGCAACTGTGAGTGTGTGACCTTACATGGCAAGAAGGACTTTGCAGATGTGATTAAATTAAGGATCTTGAGATGTGGAGATTATCCTGGATCATTGGAGTGGGCCCAAAGTTATCACAAAAGTCCTTAGAAGAGGGAGTCAGGAGATGAGAGCAGAGTGAGAGAAGGAGATAGATGACGGAGGCAAAGGTGGAAGAGAGAGAGAGAGAGAGAGAGAGAGAGAGAGAGATCTGAAGAGGCTACACTGCTGGCTTTGAAGATGGAGGAAGGGGCCACAAGCCAAGGATGAAGCCAGCTTCTAGAAACTAGAAGAGACAATGAGTGGATTCTCCCCTGGAGCTTCCAGAGGGAATGCAGCCCTCCTGACACTTTGACTTTAGTCCAGTGAGAACATTTTGGACCTTTGACTTCCAGAACTGAAAATTAATAAATGTGTATTGTTTTAGGACACTAAGTTTATAGTAGTTGGTTAGAGCAGCCATAGAGATTAATGCACTGGATATCACAATAGCTTCCAGGTTTTTGTTAATTAGTTATGAGTAACGCAGGAGGCCAGTTCTGTGGGAGAGCTTTGTGAACAGTAACCAACGCTGTGCTAACATTGGCTACCATCATTGTTGATGCAAAATGTTTGAGTTCTAATGGTGGAGCCTCAGGCATCAGTAAAAGGCAATGAGTATTTTAAGGGGCAGCACCGATGGCATCTTGATTCGGTTTCAAGGCCTGATCTGAATGCAGGGGAAAGACTACACAGGGTCAAGGGCTCTGCCCCTCTGCTCCATCCCCATCTTGCCAGGAGGTCTTGGACTTCTTGCTTAGCCTCCTTAGACCATAGTGCTCACACTCAGGCACACTCCTCCAGAGAGTTCACTGGTGTTGGTGAGTTCTGTGAAATAGAGAGGAAGTGTCCAGTGAGCCTCTGGTGGAGTGACTCAAGTCCTGCTCTTAGGTGGCAGCTCTGGGACAACTCATCACAGGGACTAAGCTCTTGGCATGGACATGGGACAATATATGCTGAGAAGGGCCTCCAGAGGGTGAGTGCCAGAGTGGAGGTGGTCAGGGTCTGGGAAGAAATCGAGCCATCCCTTGTGCCCTTCCTCCCACATCTGCCCTAATTGGGACAGGCGCAGCTGCGAGACACACCGTGATCTCAGCCCACCAGCTGCCAAGGAGCGAGAAGAAGCAAGTCAGACATCAGGGCCAACAGGGCGAAGGGGGAAGCAGGGCAGAAAATGCTTCCCTGGGGGCTGGGAGGGGAGAGCAATCTGAGAAATGTCTAAACAGATGTGCAGGGGGAGGGAGAAGCACCAATTAAACAAGTGAGCAAACAAATCAATCTGTAATTACAAATCACGATACGGGCTGTGAACAAGAACGGGGAGCTTCGTGGAGGAGCTTAAGATGGAGCTACAGCAGGAAGGATAAGAAGGAGCCGTCCACACAGAGACTAGGGCAGAGTGTGGGAGCAGATGGAACAAGTCAGGTGGCCCCACGGAGAAGAGAAGCTGTGCCCATCTTTGCCACCCTGTTGAGAAAGCTGCTTACTGAGGCAGAGAAAGCAGAGGGTGTTGCCCAGTCCCCTCTGTCTCTTCTAAGTGGCCATTCCAAGCCCAGACTTTTCTGCAACACACAACAGGAGGAAATAAGGGAGGGAGGGAAGGAAACAAACATTTCCTGGGCCCTTACTTTGTATCTGCTGCTCAGAGAGCCACTGTTTCTTTTACGTACATTCACCGTGATCCTGGACCTGGGTGGGAATTTCCCAGTTTGTTTAATAAGCAAACTCAGCCCGGATGCTAGGGTGATAGAGCTAGTGGGCGTTGGAACCAAAATTCGTCTTTGGTTCTGCGTTCTTCTCACCCTCCCTTGCGCTTCCTCTAGAAAGTGTGATGGGGACAGATCGCAGACACAAAGGCTTGGCACCTCCTGTCTAATAATACCGTGAGGCTCATTAGCACCTTCTCCTCACGAGCTTTGTCACACATCCTACCTGTCTCTTCACCAGGGTCCCATGTTTCTTACCCACGGCCTGCTCTCCTGTTACTATCTTCTCTCACTTCTGAGAGCTGTTTCCTCTTTGGTCCTCAAGAGTCAGAAAGGGTTGAGGGGGATGAAGATATCACAGAGATAATAGTAACTATCCCTTCCTGAGAGCCCCCTATGAGCCCCCTTGAGTATTTCTTCCCGCTGAATCCTCAAAGAATCTGGATGGGAAGTTACTAAGTCCATGTGTAAGCTTTGTCTCCTCTTCATGCAAGTAGTAGAAATTAAGTCAAACTAATTTAAATCCCAGAAAATGTGAGGATTTATTATGACGATGAAGGAGTGTCTCATGCGGCTCAAGAGCAAGAATTAGCAAACTTCAGGGAGGTTTTCAAACCCAGTCTGCAAAGCTGGCTGGACTTTCTCACTGTTGCCCAATCTCTGCTCCTCATTGAACATCTCAATGAGCGCCTTATGCCTCTTTCTCTCTCTCTCTCTGGATAAGCTGCTCTGCACCCCACTAAAAAAAGCATGGCAGCAACGTGGCTGTCCTGAGCTTTAATATCACGGATCCAATACTTAACAGACCTTTTTCTCTGTTCCAATTCAAAATACCCAGGAAAAGGGATCGATCAGCTGCTGCTGGAAAGAAAAGATATTGCAACAAAAATATGACTTCAGTAAACTCATTGTGGAGAGGAGGTGGTGGGAAGGGAGGGGCATGCAGCAATTCCCAGAGAGTGGACCAGGCGAAAAATGGCCATAGGTGTCCATTACACTATTTTACAGGTGAGGAAACTGAGCCTTGGAGAGGTCAAGTCAGTAATGTCATACAGGGGTCTGTTAGGATGGGGATTTGAACACGTGACTATCTGATTCCCAGCACGTTTTCTTTGCTCTGTCCCAGTGTTTCTCACAGTGTGGGACACATGCCAAAGGTGGTATTTGAGAAGATTTTTGGTGCTACACAAATGGACATTTTAAATTTAATGTATATTAGAAAAATAATAACCCCCACATAAAACCCATAATATAGAATTTTTTTTATACAAAGATTTGTAAATGGGAAAAAAACTAGCCAATTAATATATATTAAGTCAATCGTAGTGTGGGTGTTGTAGTACATAGATATTACAAAAATTGTGAAGGTCATTTGCAAAAGACTGTCGTTTGATCAATATCAGTAGGGGTATTATCATTTTGCCACTGAGTGGTTTTTTCCCCAAGTCCAAGGATCTCACCATACTATTCTTTAGTCCACCTGTCCCATCTTCTCTCCTCAAAAAAAACAAAGTTAGGGACTCAGTTATCATTTCTACTTGTGTTTCCAAAGCAAAACAACATAAATCCATTGAGCATCTATTCTCTGTTCATCTGTCACATACAGCACACCCTGGAGGGACAAAACTTCATGCAGACTCCATTCTTCATAAGGTTTGGTTTGTGTCACCAGCTGGGGTGCAAATACATCCCCTTATTTGCAAATAGATTAAGCATGGGGTTCCCCACACTTCTCACAAAGTCCATAGCTCCCTTTAGAAGTCTCTGGAGTCAACCCTGGGGGTTTGCATTATCCCATGAGGCCAGGTCTGCCTGTAAACTCCAGGTAGAGGGAGAACGGGAAAGTCAGAGCTCCAACAGCTTCTTCTGTCACTACCAGAAGGTGTTGCCCAAGGAGAACTCACATCCCCTGTTATGTTGGCTGACTGGCTGGTCCAGATCTCCACGGGAGTCATTGGGATATAGAGGCTGATGTTGGTAGGGGCTGATGGCGATGACTGCATCTGGAGTGGCTTCCATGTTTAGCTATAATCTGGCCCCAGGCAAGCATCTTTCATCCCCCACTCTCTGGGCTCTGTTCAGGACACTAGTCCAGTCCTTTCTGCCCTTATCCTCAGAGTGAGTACCTTTTCCGGGGCCCTTTGTGTCTTTACCTGTTAGAAGACGTTGGCTGGGACTATCCCATTTCAACCCAACAGTTTTCTTTAACTTTTCATTTCTAAATGGGATGGGAGTTTTAGGTGTTTTCCTCCAAGAAGGCTTTGGCTCCTTCTGCAAAATGGCCCCATCCATCCCAGATGTCTGCAAACTCGAAAGTGTTTAAAGGTGGCTCTGGTTCACCTCGATGAAAAGCCATTCACTGAAATCCAACTTGATGGTTGACCCATTTGCTGAAGTACCATTTCAAGAAATTATCAACTATCTTGATTAACCAACCACTGGTTTTAACGATTTGTCAGTATGTAGCAGTTTCTGGCTCTTCTTATGTGCGTGTGTGCGTGTGTATGTGTTTGTGGGGGTGATTCAAAAGCTTGTTTCATTAGAACTTTTGTTGACTGATCTCCATTTTGTCTCAGGGCAGCATTTCCAGAAATGTTTAATTAATCCAAAGTTCAGAGTTGAGGGCAGTTCAGTCTTCTTATGGGCACATTTAATACATTGGCTTTTTCAACATTCAGCTTTAGCTTCTAAATAGATCTTTGGCAATTTAATAGGTTACAAATCAAGGAAAATCCTCATCTGGATTGAGACTCACTAAACCCAAACTACGGAATGAAAACTATGTATCTTACAGTTTTCTTACCTAAACATGATCCTAAATTTGAGTATATTCATATACATAAAACTGGACGGAAATTGACTCAAATGTCAACAATGAGGTTTTTTTTTTTCTTAATGAAAAGTATCACTTGAGTTTGGCCCATTCATTTTGTAAAGATAACACAAGTATGCACTGTGGCCATGTGAAAAAAATATAATAGGGTCATTTGTCTTCTGTGTCTTAAAATACACACTTCCCAACACTTAGAATGTTGATCCTGGGGAGGAGTGAACCCATCTGCTGAGACTCTATAAAGGCAAGATGGGCAATATAGGGCGAATGTGCCAACATCTCCTCCTTCGTGGCCACTGGCAGGTACAGCTCATCCGTCACAGAGCTCTTTCCTTTGAAGCCTAGAGCACCTTTGAAATCTTTCTTGAGCCTTTGTTCCAGGCAGTGCAGACCAAATGGTGAGCTTTGAGATGTGATAAAATCTATTTTCCATCTTAGCTCCAGTTCTGCTGGATCACACTCTTTTGTTGACCTGGTTCTACTTGCTGCCGTTCTTCCCCACTGTTCCGCATT